TTGACTCTGTCTTTGACCATCAAATATTTGATGTCAGTGTGTTTTGATCTAATAGAACTTTTATTATTCCTTGAAAAGAACACTGCTGCGCTGTTATCACAATAAATAGTGATTGGCCTCAAGATGGAGTCAACAACTTTCAGCCCAGAAATAAAATTACTTAACCAAACTACTTGAATTGTAGCTCCATAACATGCCACGAATTCAGCCTGCATAGTAGAAGATGCCACCAGAGTCTGCTTAACGCTTTTCCACGAGATAGTACCACCAGCCAACATGAAAATATAACCCGAGGTTGATTTCAAATCATATTGATATCTAGCAAAATCAGAGCATGTAATTTTCAGTCTTCTTTAAGTATCTCATAACTTTATTAGCCATTTTTCAATTCTCTTGCCCTGGATTCGACTAAAACTTACTGAGAACACTAACTGCATAAGCAATATCCGATCTAGTCTAAACTTGAGCATACATCAAACTCCCCACAATACTAGCATATGGTATCATCTTCATAGATTCACTTTCTAGCTCATTCCTTGGACATTGAGTTTTGTTAAACTTATCCTCTTTTATGATAGGTACATCACCAGGTGCACATTTATGCATATTGAACATTTCTAGAACACGTCGTATATGAGCCTTCCGAGAAAGTCCCAACACGCCACGATTTCTATCATGATGTATTTCGTTGCCAAGCACATAAGTAGCTTCTCCAAGATATTTCATCTCAAAATTAGCAGATAACATTTTTTTTTGTCTCATGAAGTAACCCCAAGTCACTGCTAGCAAGTAAAATGTCATCAACATGCAGGACAAGATAAATAAAATTTCTCCCACTCGTTTTAAGATAAATACATTGATCAACTGTATTTTCAACAAAATCAAGAGAAGTCACAACCTTATCAAATTTCAAATATCATTGCCATGATGTATGCTTGAGGCCATATAAGGATTTATTCAACTTACATACAAAGTTTTCTTTTCCCTTCACAACAAAACCTTCAAGTTGTCTCATGTAAACGCTTTCCTAAAGATCTCCATTCAGAAAAGCCGTATTAACATCCATCTGATGAAGCTCCAAATTATAATGTGCCACAAGTGCCATGATAATTCCTAAATAATCTTTGGACAAAACAAGTGAAAAAGTTTCATTATAGTCAATGCCCTCTTGTTGAGTAAACCCTTTACAACCAATATCGCCTTCTTTCGTTCAACATTCCCTTTTGAGTCCAATTTGCTTTTGAAGATCCACTTGTTATCTATGGCTTTAGCATTTTTATTATCCGGAATAGCATCCATAATGGAATCGGATATGGAACACTTAATAATTTTCGAACAAAGTCTATTAGCCCTTTTGCACTTTTCATACTCAGCCACATATTCAGGAGTGCTTTTATTTGTGGGTTTCGAAAGTTGATTCTCCATTGCAAAATCCAACCCCAAAAGACCAAATATTATTTTTACGCCTTGTTTCCATCTTACATAATTATTCCTAGTAAAGGTTTTAATAGAAGAAAATTGGCTCGAAAGAGTTGAGACATTTAAAACTGTGGAAACATAAAATAACATATTTAATATCATCCAAACATAGTGCATGCAGACAATGGATGATAACATATTCATCTAATTAACATGGGCTACTAATTAGATGGTCTGTAATTAAAGTCAAAATTGAATTAACATTATTACGGTAAGAACCTAGATGCATCAATACAAAGTCACATTTGGGCTGACAATATAACACGCGGTAATGTACTCTTAAAACACATAATGAAGTTAGTTAACCAAATAGATTAGTTTTCGAAAAATCAACACTTTTGGGTAGAATGAGATTTCTAGACAAAGTAAACTCGTTAACCGTCTTACCAATTTTCAAAAATATCACATATAAAATAACACATTTAGGCAAGATACTATATGTAATAATTTAAAATTACGATGCTAACAACAAATTTTTTTTTTTTTTTTTGAAGAAAACCAAATAAATAAAAATGAGTGCCACTTTGGTAGCTACCACCCACTTTTATTTCAAAATGTTTCTCTTAATGGGAGCACCAAGACATACTTGAAGTCCACGAAAAAAATTCAATAATAATAATAATAATCATGCAATATAATCACAATCATCAACCGACGAAAAGTAAAATTCATGTGCAATCGTGAGACGAAATTGACAACTACATTTCAATATATGAAAATCAAATTTTAATGGACAAATAATAACGACATTCAAATATTTCAATAAAATTAAACAGTCGTTAATTTTAAATATAATTTTAATTTTAGGTCAAAATTGAAATATATGTGGATGAACCCATTGTTTTAAAAAAAAAAAAAACTCAAATTCAATATTTCAAAATTACAAAATTGACCCTAAATTAAAATTATGAAAAGAGGGCATCATTTATTCAGAAATTATACTGTAGGTCCTTTTCTTTAAAATTACAAAGTGGTCCTTTTACTAAATTGCAGGCAAGCTCCCCAAAAATAGCAAATTACGGAAAACCTCCCCATCCCCAAATCAATTGAATACAATTTTGGCAAAACCTTTGGTTCACCCTTCTTCTATCCGCGCTGCCGCCTTGCCAAAAACACCACCCCGCGACGGCAGCCCACAGCTACGAAAAACGCAGGCGTAAGCTGCATTCGACGCTGCCATATCAAACAGCGGCGCCTGCTGCTGTCGTTGACAGTGGTGAGCACATTTGATTCGACGTTCAGTAGCTCGGGTTCGGGCGGGAGTATTCACACACAACCACACAACAGTGTTTATACGCACACAATAATCATACATACACATGGGTTCGTTTATATATGCACGAGAGAGAGAGAGGAGGCAGTAGGCTGATTTTGTAGAACATATATACATACAAAAATATATACATCCAGATATCTATACACATAGTTGGCAGGAAATGCTAGAGAAAAATTATACATATATATGCATGAGGGAGAGCAGATAGTGGCTTGATTTTTTTCGCTTTGGTTTTGGTATGTACAATACAATTATACAAACATATGTACATATGCACATACAAAACAGAAAACCAGAACAAGAGAATTTTTTTTGTTTAAATGATTCTGATCTTTGCATGCTGCTCTGATACCAATTGTTATAATTGAACAATAATCATGCTAAGAACGAGAATCACATATTCTGGAGGGATAAAAAAAATTTGTGTTTTGCAAGAAATTGCAAAATTTGACGGGAACATTGAAGACACTTAAAGCTAAGCATTTCGAAACATATCTACTAGGGCCAACATTGTAAAAATTGAGTTGGAGGATGGTCAAAAAATGCTCCATGATCAGCCCACAAACCAACAATATCAACTTTTGGTGGCCGAGTTGAGGAAAAAAGCCTTTGGATTCCTTATCAATAGTGATAAGTGTACAAAATTCTTCCATGCTATGGTGAACCGTAACACGAGAAAGAATTTTTTTGCAAAAGTTCTTAAGGAGGATGGGTGCTATACCACGTCCCAAGATGAAGTTGCTCATGAGTTTATCCAATTCTATTGTCTTTACTTGGTAAAAGTTGTCCAAATTTGCCTATTGAGCAAATTTTTTTAAATGAGGGTCCCTTGGTGACTTTGGAACAAGGTGGCTCTCTTGTTCGGGATATTTCTAGCTAAGAAGTTAAGGAGGTACTCTTTGATATTGGTGATGATAAATCTCCTGGGATAGATGGTTACTCATCATGTTTTTGCAAGAAAGCATGGGGGATTGTTGGAGTTGATTTTGTTGAGGCCATCAAAGAATTTTTTGCATTGGGTTCTCTCTTCAAACAAGTGAATCACACGGTTATTGCCTTGGTTCCAAAATCTAGTCACACTACGATTGTTGGAGATTATAGGCCTATTTCTTGTTGCAATGTTTTTTCCAAGGTTAATACGAAGATCCTTCCATCTTTGGGAAGCATTGTTGACCAAGCCCAATCCGCATTTGTTGAAGGAAGGAGTATGATGGAAAACATCTACATTGGTCAAGAACCCATGAGGCAATATAATCGAAAATGGATTGCTTCAAGATGTCTACTTAAGGTTGATCTTCATAAGGCGTATGACTCAGTTGAGTGGGGCTTTTTAAAGCAAGTACTTGAGGGTTATGCTTTCCTATGAAATTCATTAGTTAGGTTATGGAATGTGTCACTACACCCACTTATTCTGTGGTATTGAATGGAAGTATGCACGATTTTTTCAAAGAGAGGAAAGGCTTACGACAAGGTGATCCACTCTCATCATTTTTGTTTGTTTTATGTATTGAATATCTTTCAAGAATGCTTAAGGCCATCAAAAATGAGAATGAATTCAACTATCATCCCGAATGTAGCCCGTTGATGATTACACACTTAGCTTTTGCGGATGATCTAATGCTCTTTGCAAGGGAAGATGTCATGTTGGTGAGAATTTTGATGGATTGCTTAAATAACTTTGGGAATGCATCGGGATTAATGATGAATAATCTTAAGTCCAGCTTATTTACAAGTGGAATACACGGGCAAGAGCTTGACGAAATCCAAGAACTTACCAACATTTCGAAGGGTACTCTGCCTTTTCGATATTTGTCCATTCCACTTGCTTTCGAGAAGCTTAAAGTCAGTTGTTACACTCATTTTTTTGGATAAAATTATAGCTTATATAAGTGCTTGGACATGTTCTTCATTGTCCTATGTGGGTAGATCGGAATTGATTAGAGCAGTGCTTCAAGGAGTCGAATGTTTTTGGCTTTCCTTGCTACCTATCCCAGCCATGGTTGTTTCTAAGATTGTTCCTAATTGTCGAAATTTCCTTTGGGGATCTAAGAAAC